GGTCCACAATCTTGACCTAGGCTCTGATACCAATTGTTGGAATCTATATAACAAGCCAACTTTCCATTAGTATGATATTGTCCGCTTTGGACCTATAACTCAAGCCCGCACGGATTTATTGGGCTCCTTCCCAAAAGGTCTCATACTAATTGAAGTGGGATTTGACTTATATATTAGAAACTTCTCTTTCTAATCTTCCGATGTGGGATATTGGTTTGTATTCCAATAGTAATTTCAAGATCAATATCTTTGTCTCTTTGGGTCTTGGCATTGTGTTGCGGAACACAATGAGTGAATATGTTGAATTCTGTTATATAAGACTATACTTACCTACAGAGCCGGCCCAAAGGCCAAGCCCATGAAGCATATGCTTGCGGCCCTTCCTTTTATATAGTATTTTCGGCCCTATTTTTTCAAAAAGACTCTTTAATATAGTGGTATTAACCTTTTTTTGAGGGTTAGAGGTAACAAGTTCGAGGCCTATAAGCAGCCATTATTTTTAATTTCCTTGTAGCCTTCCATAGCATAGGGACGGCTCTGCTTACCTAGCTACGTTTTTATTGTGATCTGTCGATGTGGTCAACGTATAATGGTCCAATGAAATCCTTCAAAGGATAATAATATGAGATAGTAAAAAAAAAGTTCTCTCGATAGTTTTGTAGAAAACAATGTGAACATTAAAATCTCTTTTTTTCAATGACTTTCCAATTAGAGCCTTGTAAGAGTTAAAATGTACGACCTTGCATATTTTCCACTATAATTGTATGAACTTTATTTAGTAAATCTGAAATTGAAAATATACAAATACTAAAATACTAAAAACACAATTAATACACAAAATCTTATATACAACCGTGAGTAGTGTGGATTAGCCTCTAGTAATAATTATTAACAAATTAATGTAGTAAGTTAGATATCAAATTTTTTTCTCAATTTGAATGGTTATTCAATATTTTTGAAATTTATTAAAACATCTTTGATAATTAAATTTCATACATTAATGTTTGAAATTATTTTATCTTTAATGATTAGTATTATTATTATTATTATTTTGTTCTTTCAAAACTATTTTTTTATATAAAGTTTGGTTTTCACAGTTCGTGATATGTGTCATGTCATGTCTACCAAGTGAATTTTAACACATGTGAGAAGAAAAATAATATCATGAATAATAAATCCTAAAAGTAAAAGGTTTACATTTTTTGTAAATGTATATAAGAATATAAAAAAAAAAAAAATTATACAATCAATTAAAAATCCTAAAATTAAATATTTTAAATTGTAACTAATTCTTATAATTTCTTTTCGTTTTTGATAAAGTTGATTTGCTAATTAATATATTGGGTAATTCTCAGGCACTAATTTCAGTTTTTCTTCCAAACTTAGCACACACTCGCCTATTTTTCAAAATTAGCACCATATATTCAAATTAAATTTTCAAAACTAAATCATAAACTCTAAATAATAAATTCTACCTCCTAAAAACTATACCTTTAATGTAAAATAGTCAACTCAAACCTCAATAAAAAATTCTAAAAATTATTAAAATATTTTAATTTTGTTAATTAATGCTATTTTTGGAAATTTGTGGAGTGTGTGCTATTATTGTTCATAAAACATACTTTGATGTTATTTTAAGGTATTTCTCAAATTTATTTAAATCAAAGTCACTAAATCTAAGATCTTTTACACAAAATGTTGATGCTTCAATTGGTAAAAATTCAAAGAAACTGAAATTTTTTTAATCAAATGGTAAAAAATGTTTGGATAAAGATAATTTGTTAATTTAATATATTAAAATTCACTATTATAAGTCTCTAGAAATATTTTAAAGCTTGTTTTTATTACAATCGAAATCAAACAAAATAATCATACAAACAAAAACCACTTGTAATATATTTTGTAATATATAACAAAATAAATGTAGGCATGGGAGAACTCTAGAGTTATATGTTGCATAGCATATATGGTCTAAGGGAGGTGGTAGCTAACATTGAGGTGGCAGGTGGCGTGGATGTGATGGATGGTTATGATAAATATAGTTACTAATTATTTAATTGCTATTATTTTATTTTTTATATGTGGTTAAATCTAATTTTGATGAAACATTTTCATGTTTTTATCAATGGAGAGACACATGGTCATGATGGCCATTGCTAGCTTAACCATTGTTAGTCCCCGTTGGGAGGGGAGGTAGTTTTAGTGAAGATAATATACTTTTTGTCATCGTGTTTAAAAGATCTTGTGAGCTAACACTTGCTCATTTTTTTGCAAAAGATTTTCTAAATCTGAAGTTTTATTAAAAAGTATAAATTTTAATTACCTCAAATTGCAAATCGATTAGACTCATGGTGTTGAAATAGTGCATTCTGGTTTTGCTTTATGATTGCAAAATTTATTTGACTCAAAGTCACCATATCAAAGATCTTTACACAAAATGTTTAATGCTTCAATTGGTAAAAATTCAAAGAAACTGGAATCTTTTTTTAATCAAATGGTAAATATAAATGTTAGCAGTGAAAGAAAATTACAGGAAACGAACAATGCGATCAAACAAACAAGGTTTCCTTCCAATAATAATAAACCAACCAATTGGTTTTCTCAATTTATTTTGAATCAATTTACCTTAACTGGATTAAACCGATATCCAATTAGAAAATCTAATCTAGCATTCGTATATCTATCTTAACATTTTTGAAGTACATTTTATATTAAAATCTATTTAGGTTATAACTTTTTAATTGCAATATTTGCATAATTAAACCATTGCCATTTGAACAAATAACAAAACTTATAAGTAATTTTTGTAAATAAATCACAAGCAAATAGCAAAATTGGAAACAAATTTTTATTATATCAAAATAGAATATCTCTCCAATGTATTTATATAATCGTATTTGTTTTTAACTTATATAATTACATAAAATATATTTATAATAAAATAGAGATTTTTCCACACATTTTGTAATTTAAATTTTTTGGAAACGGACGTATATAACTCAATCAGTAAAGGAAAAAATATATGTAAAACGTCTACATAAGGTAGAAAAATTAAGATAATAGTTCAAAATCATTATAAATAGGATTAATATGTTCAAAAATACAAATGAGCATGAACTTTTATTTCTCATGTATCCAAATTAAAATAAAAAAATTCAGTTTAATCCGGTTCTTTATTTAAGAAAAATAAAACTTTTCAAAAGTTTCAAAATATTATATTTTTTTTAAATATTATAAATAGTAAAACTTTTTAAAGCTGCAAATTATATTATTTAATTTGATTTTTATAGAATATATAAAATATTTAAACACTACAAAAATATTATTAATATTTTACCTCTAAATATTTAAAATATAATAATTTTATACATAAATGATTTAACGGGTTTGAGTTTACATAAATATGATTATATTTTTCTTACTGGTTGTCTATATTTGAAATCTTTTACGGGTTAAGTTAAAATATAATATATTTTTATAACAAAATCGTCTTGCGGGTTGACCATATATATCATAAAATTATATAAAATGAAAATAATATAAACACGTATAAAACTAGATTATATAAACCAAGTACAAAAATGATCAACCAAACAAATATATTAAACTATGGATTTATGGTATACCACGGGTAAATCCTAGTTAATTACGAATTCTAAACTAATCAATCTATCAATCTAAAGATTAATAAAACAATCTCTGATTATACAAATTAGAACTCAGATCTCTCTCGTTGTGTAATCAGCCACCAACCTCTCTTCACTTACACCACTACACAGTAACAATGTCTTCCACCGCCGCCGCCGTAACGTACTCCGCCAAACTCGCCGTGAATCCTCTCAGAATCTCTTCCCTCTCTTCCAGATCGGTTCTTCCATCCGCCATTTCCGTTCGCAGTCGACGCGATATTCCACATAAACGGCTTATCCTAGTGACGTGCACTACCACCGGAGACGGAGCGAAACCAACCGTTCTCGTAGCGGAGAAGCTCGGCGAGGCTGGGGTTCAGCTACTTGAGAAGTTCGCGAACGTTGATTGTTCGTATAATTTAACCCCTGAGGAGTTAAACACGAAGATCTCGCTCTGTGATGCGTTGATTGTGAGGAGTGCGACGAAGGTAGGTCGTGAGGTTTTTGAATCGTCTCGTGGTAGGCTTAAGGTTGTTGGTAGAGCTGGTGTTGGGATTGATAATGTGGATCTGAGTGCTGCGACTGAGTTTGGTTGTTTGGTTGTTAATGCCCCTACTGCGAATACGATCGCTGCTGCTGAACATGGGATCGCGCTTTTGGCTGCCATGGCTAGGAATGTTGCTCAAGCTGATGCTTCTGTTAAAGCTGGTAAGCCCACTTTTCGAACTTGTTAGATGTAAGGTGTGAAAGAATTGCAAAATTGATAGATTCTTGTAGTGTGGATGAATTGATGGTTTTGGTTTTGGGTATAATGTAGGAGAGTGGAAGAGGAACAAGTATGTTGGTGTATCACTTGTGGGGAAGACATTAGCTGTGATGGGATTTGGTAAAGTTGGATCAGAAGTTGCAAGACGTGCTAAAGGACTTGGTATGCGTGTTATTGCTCATGATCCTTATGCTCCTGCGGATCGTGCTCATGCCATTGGTGTGGATTTAGTGAGCTTTGATGAAGCGCTTTCTACTGCTGATTTCATTTCTTTACATATGCCTCTTACACCTGCTACGTCGAAGATGCTTAATGATGAAACGTTTGCTAAGATGAAGAAAGGAGTGAGGATTGTTAATGTGGCTCGTGGAGGTGTTATTGATGAAGATGCATTGGTGAGAGCTTTAGATGCTGGTATCGTTGCTCAGGCTGCTCTTGATGTTTTTACTAAAGAGCCTCCGGCTAAGGATAGTAAGTTGGTGCAGCATGAGAGGGTTACGGTTACACCTCATCTTGGAGCAAGTACCATGGAGGCTCAGGTTCTGCATTTTTATCAACAAGTCAAGTGATGCTTTTGTTATGATGTCTCTCTTGATTAATTACTGTATGTGGCTTTGATAGGAAGGAGTAGCTCTTGAGATTGCAGAAGCTGTTGTTGGAGCTCTTAACGGAGAGCTTGCTTCAACTGCTGTCAATGCACCTATGGTTTCTGCTGAGGTGAGCCTTCTTTACACTATACTAGTAAGAGATTCATATATTCTTTGCCAAAACAAAAACTTAGCAACTTAAACATTGATCGATAATGCTGGAAGTAGAAGAAATTATCTTCAGGGTGTAATTGTATTTACGAAAGCTTATTATATCCACAGGTTCTCGCAGAGTTGAAACCATATGTGGTTCTGGCAGAGCAATTAGGGAGACTAGCTGTCCAATTGGTGGGTGGAGGAAGCGGTGTGAAGAATGTGAAAGTGACCTACGCCTCCGCTCGAGCCACTGATGATCTTGACACTAGACTTCTCAGAGCCATGATAACAAAGGGTATCATTGAGCCGATTTCTGATGTTTATGTAAACCTGGTCAACGCTGATTACACTGCAAAACAGAGAGGGCTGAGAATCTCAGAGGAACGAGTCCTCCTTGACGGTTCACCAGAGAGCCCACTCGATACCATCACGGTTCAGCTATGCAACGTCGAGTCCAAATTCGCGAGCGCCTTATCTGAATCTGGAGAAGTCAAAGTTGAAGGGAGAGTTAAAGATGGAGTCCCCCATTTAACAAAGGTGGGATCTTTTGAAGTAGACGTGAGTCTTGAAGGAAGCATAATACTGTGTAGGCAGGTAGATCAGCCTGGCATGATCGGAACTGTCGGAAGCATCTTGGGAGAGTCGAATGTTAACGTCAGTTTCATGAGTGTTGGAAGAATCGCGCCGAGAAAGCAAGCGGTTATGGCGATTGGTGTTGATGACATGCCGAGCAAAGAGACATTGAAGAAAATTGGAGAGATTCCAGCCGTAGAGGAGTTTGTCTTCCTCAAGCTATAGTTTTGCTACCAAAAACTCGGTGAGGATTCGATAAAAAAGAATGGCTTTCGCTTTATTTGTTTTGGTCTTTTCTACCACAGTTTTGATAGTGTCGAAGTAGCTTAAGAGAGAGTACGACTTGGTTGAGATGAAATAATAAGGTCTGCCTCAGAATTTGACCTTTGGAGGCTATTCAAGTTTCTGTTTTATTATTATTGCTTCACTTACATATTTTGTTCTATTTTACCATCTTTATGCAATCCTAATTTCGTGTCTTTCCTACGTACCTGTAATAATATTCCCATATTTGCTGGTGATGTACTCAAGGAATAAGATTCTGATATGCTTCTCGAATGAGAAAGACAGAACACAGAATCTGACCAGTCTTGCTTCTGTGTCCTAATGAGCTTTTGAGTTTGGAAAAGGACACACACCATTCTTGGCTTCCTTTGGGAATTGATTCGTTTCCAGCCTTTCTTCTAAATGAGATTTGCCTTTACCATCTGCAAAATCAAACTTTCAGTTATTTTTTTAGAGTTTTCGCATGTGTGTTAATACTCTTTACAAATCTCTTATAAACTCAAGCTTAATCCTTACCAGAAGAACATATCTTGAAACTTGTCATAACTTGTGTTTGTTTCAGTTTTTTTTGTTCTACATGGGAGCCAGATTTTCACGTATAGCTAAAAGGTTTCTTCCTAAGAGTAAAGTAAGGATTTTGATGGTTGGTCTTGATGGTTCAGGGAAGACTACTATCCTTTATAAGCTGAAGCTTGGAGAGGTTGTGACAACAGTGCCTACTATTGGTATGTGACATGAGCTTTTTTTATCTTCTCTTGTTTGTTTTTGCTGTTGAAACCTCTCTAGGTGAGGGATTGATCATGAAGTTAGAGTAAGATGTTGATTCAACTAAAGACAGAACACAGAATCTGAACAGCTCCAACTTTTGTGACCTTTTTATGGATCTTAGCTTATTTGTAGATAGTTACTTTGTCCCTTTGATTGTTGTTGCATCTGTGAGGAAGACAATTCTTAATAGCTTGATAATTCTCATGTCGATGTTGTATCGTTTATTCGTCATACAGGGTTCAACCTTGAGACTGTAGAATACAAAGGCATTAATTTCACTGTATGGGATATAGGAGGACAAGAGAAGGTAAATTTCCATGTCAAATTCATATTCATCTAGTGTTTATCTCTCTGCAAGTGCATATAAACACAGATTTGTCTCTTGTCTCTCAAGGCTTGACCTGTCTGAGTATTTTTATGGGCTCTCTCTGTATCATTCTTATTAATAAGATATCAGCTTTTCCAACAGATTCGCAAATTGTGGAGGCATTACTTTCAGAACGCACAGGGGCTTATCTTTGTGGTGGACAGTAGTGACAATGAAAGGATATCAGAAGCTCGAAACGAGCTGCATCGCATACTAACCGATGTAAAATCATATGCAAAAGTTTCAAATGTTACTTAGTCTTTCCTCTTTTTTATGCTAACAACTTTATGTTTTTGACAACAACAAAAAAATATGCACAGAATGAACTAGAAGGAGCATGTGTACTAGTCTTTGCGAACAAGCAAGATTCAAGAAACGCTTTACCCGTAGCTGAAGTTGCCAACAAACTTGGTCTGCATAGTCTATCCAAACGTTGTTGGTAATAATAAAAACCTCTTCTCATGTTCATCACATATATATTTAGAGAAAGAGGATGTATAAAAGCCTTTTTGTGTAATTGTGAATGGTGCAGGCTTATACAAGGAACATCAGCCATCTCTGGACAAGGCTTATACGAAGGACTTGAATGGTTATCCACAACAATTCCGACCAAACCCGAACGGTCTACTTCGGTTGGTAGTTTCCGGAGTAATTCATCTGAGAGGAACCTAGTACGAGGTCTGAGGTATTAAAAGACTTAAGGCCCTTGAATGGTTTGCTCTGTATACATTGGAGACAAGTGTATTTTTGTGTACTAGCTTGTTTTGGTACGAACTGATGCGTACGAGAGTAACCAAAATCGATGGCTTCAACGTTCTTTGTATTTGTAGTGATTTATGGCGTTTTGGTTTTCATGTTTCTCAGTGAGAACCATTGTTGATTGTGTTACTCATATTATTATTGAGTGAATAAGGTTTTAGGGTATCTTTACGTACCACACCCTTTATATGAATCTGTGTTTTCCTTCATACTTTGGAATCTTGACATCTTTTAATAAGATATACTGATGGACCGAAATAGTCAATATGAAAACATAGCCAAAATAGAAAACAATTCTAACAACAAATGTTGGAAACGAACTTTTTAGGCATTTGACCCCAAAAAGGAAAAATTAGGCATTTGTCATATTAGTCGGAGTATTGAGGTTGGAATATTACTGTCTAATCTGACTAAAACCGAAAAATTGTATTGCGATAAAAAGAAGTAACCAAGAAGAATTCCAGACCGAAACCTAAATAATATTTTTCGTAATTTTATTGATGAAGAGAAATATATAGTCAAATACAAAAAAAATTCCAACAACATATTTTGGAAACAAAAATTCTTAGGCATTTTCACCCCAAAAAAAAAGTAGTTAGGCATTTGTCATATTACCCGGGTTATCGAGGTTGGTCTGAAACTGTTTAATCTATTCTAAAGCCAAAAAGTTGTATGACGATGAAAAAAAAAATAAATGAAAATAATCAGGGAGAATTCCAGACTAAAACCTGAATAAAATCTCCGTAATTTAATCGATGAAAAGAAAAAAGTAAACGAGTTAGACCATGTGGAAAAGACCAAGGTATAAGAAACATAAAGTTTGATTATTTTCCAACAACTACACATAGATACGGGGTTTGCGGGTGATTGCGGTTGTTAATATTATATTAATCACGAAAATTGCTGTTTTTAACATTCTCACTAAATTTCAAAATATAGCTCAAAGTCTCAAAACCATTGTGGTTACGAGCAACAATGGGCCATAATACGTTTCATAATTTGATTTTTCATATTCATTTGCTTGATTGCAACCAAAATTGCTCATATTGAATATACAACCTGAACAAAAATGCACTCAAAAACATTTAAACTAAAAAACACAAAATAAAGAATGCAAATAAAGCCAAAGGCGACTAAAAACGTAAACCTGAAAATGATTGTTATGAAATATTATTTAATCAATCTGGACGTATAAGTGCATAACTAATTATATAATCATAAGATAATGGATAAGGCTCTTCACCAAACCTTGCTGGTGACTGGTGAGCATCATATTGTATAAAAAGTTAGGCGCAACAAAATGGGAAAGCCAAGAAAGAAACAGCTGTTTACGTGAGAAACCGCTGATTCTGATAGTGACAAAATTTTGTTGGTACCAAAACAAAATTGATTGCTTCAACAGATATAAAATAGGTATGTAACAGCTGCCTTCTTCTATTTTATGTCCATATCTTACAAAATAGATTTCGGTGTTTTAATTTTCTGATATTTTAAGAATTTGTTTAATAATTTATTCCTTTCATGCGAAATTTCTATAGTATAGTAGGTTTGGATGTTCAAGTATTCGGATCGACTTTGGTTCGGTTTTATTCGGTTCTAACTTTTTGGTTATGGAGTTTAGTATTCATATAAGTGTAAAACATGGTTTAATTTTGGTTTAGTGCGTTTTTCCGAGAATTTAGGATACATAAATATTATTTTTTCAGGTTTTTTGGATATATGTATATATATATATATATATATTTAAAATTTTGTAGTAATTTTGTCGTTCGGTTTAAAAAAAAATTATAATTATGTGTTAATAATTGTACTTTAGAATACCCAAATATTTGTTTGGTAGTGGTTAAAATCCATTTAGATATAATTATTAACTCAGGTTCATTTAGTCATAAAACCATGTAATTAAATATTTCTATTTTTGTCTTCCACTTAAAACCGTCTTTCAACTAATATTTATATAAGGTTATTTTAAGATTTATGTTCTCTACTAAAAGTGGCTTGAGGATTTTTTTGAAGACCAATTGTGAGTTTTGGATTTATAATCTTTTAAAAATTAGATTCGGTTGAAATAATGGTTCTAAATTTTGAAAACAAGATTTTAAATCTTTACATAAAAATCACAATTTTGTTGGATAATATTAATGGAGAATGAGAGATTTTTTTTTGAAAGATGATGACGTGGCAACCACATTATCGAGGATGTGGCTACCACGTCATCAACATCATCAACATCATCAAAAACGTGGCATCCATGTCAGCAATATGTATGACTTCATACAATTTGATAATTTTAGGTATGAAATTTAAATATGTTAAAAGGTTAAGTATGTATTTGCACATAGACAAATGTTGGGTATGAATTGAACACTCGCTATTAGACTAGGTATGAATTGGCCGATTTTCCTAAAATATGTGTATCGTAACAAGTATTATTTATAATCAATAACAGTTACAAGTAAGTGACTAAATTTAGGTAATATGGTGATTTTTTATAATTTTCAGATTTTCTTAAAAGAATTTCCATTGTTAACAGTAAATCAAATTTGATAGTGATTAACTGGTTATGAGTTTGTGAGACATATACAAGAGAAGAAGTAAGCAAATTAACGTACATTTTGAAATATATTAGATTATAAAGTAAAGAAATACGGTTCTCTGACCTCATTTAGTAACTTCTTCCATGTCCTTCTCCGCCACAATGACCCCTTTTCTCTTGGACAAAGGGATCTCTAAAACTTTTTGAGAATAGTTTTGATGCATTTGAATACTGATAGCTCTTATTAGACAATCAATCTAAAATTACGATCAACAGTAAGAAACTAAAATAATGTCAATAATGAAATCATACAAATCGACACAAATATTTTATGAAAAAAAATCCAAATCATTCAAATAACTTACAAAGTTAGAAAAAAAAAATCAGGTATAGTTTACAACATCAACTCGTACGATGTCTCAAAAAACGTCATTATTCTTCTTTGAAGTATCACACATTTAAATATAGGTCGTTTAGTGACTTTTTAATTATTTTGAGATTTTTTAAAAGAATGTCCATTAGCTAACATAAACTGACATTTGATAGTGATTATGCGCTTTTGAGATATATACATGTGATGTATTTAAACAAACATAAATTAATGAATGTTATTTGTAAAGGTTATACATAACACAATACACATAACAAAAAAGTGAATCATATAGTAATGTAAATATTTTTGCCTTCAAATTTGTCACATCACGGATATGCATATTATTAGAGTGACACCGTAGCGTATAAATTTATATGATCATATGTACATACAAGATTGAATATAAATAGACTATTCTGATTAGTATTACAAATATAAGTTTGTTAAGTCTTATAATGAATAATGATCCAAACTCACTACGTATATATTTATATACATTGGTGATTTGTGTAGACGAATGAATTTTCATGACTCTATTATGATGTTTTAAGTTAATTGTTGTAGCTTAGGTCTTGGAAATAATTAGAACATTGATGTAGTGGTTTAGTACTATTCCATTGTCATATTTCCTTTTCTAACTTCATAATATAGCTTTTTTTTTCTTTTTGTAATTTCAAATTTCAAAATTTGAGTTTATAAATATGAGTATTTTATTTAGTTATTCTTACATCTAATGATACTAAGCATTGTTAGGGCTGAATTAGTCAGTTAAGAATTACAATTAACATATTTACCAAAATGGTGCATGATATGTGTGTTATGGATTTTTTTTTCTAATTTGATAAAAAGTAATAGAATATAAAATTGTCATATTTGTTACTATCATATCATGTAAACCAGACTTAATGTTAATGTGTTTTTAAATAATTTGTTGCAACAAATAAAGTATTGCAACTATGATTCAAGATAATAGTATTATGTGAATTTTACAAGAATAGAAGTGAGTAAATCTACACATTTTTGAAAAATATCATATTATAAAGTAAAAAAAAAAAGTTTGCAAACACATTTAAGAACTCTTTCTATGTCCTACGTCGGCCTTCTCATCCACTATGATCCTTCTCTCAGAATGATCTTCATGAGTCGTTTTTTTTTTCAGTTATGTAAGACTACGAACCATATTAAATTATGATTATCAATTACAATAAATGTGAACAATTTTTTCTTTTTAACACCTAATTTGAACAATTCAATCATAAAAATCCACACAAACTCTTTAATAATTTTTAAAAAAATCCAAATCATTCAATAACTTACAAAGTAATCATAACAAATCCAAATATACTTTTAAACACACATTCGTACAATGTCTCAAAAAAAAAAACGTCAATTATTATTCTTTTATGATGTACCGTCCAAATCATCAATTTCGACCCTCCCTTATAATATTTTACTAACGCAGTCATCATTATTTTTTTTTTTAAAGTTTGTGTAAGTTTGAAGCATATTTTCATATTCCTGCCACACATATGAAGATCTCGATAATACGATTGGTGTAAGACTAAACAAGAAGAGAGTTTAATTTTATTGCATACAAAAATTATATTACAAGACCAAAGTCACCGACACCGACAAAACCTCAAGACTTTGGTTTTCCACCATAAGCTCGCTTACAAATGTAAAATGGTTTCTGCGATGGAGCACACATCTTAGCTTTCCCTGGACATCCTTGTAGACAATTATTCCCCAAACTCCCCATTACATCTGCGTCTGATCTCACAAACCTCGCCGGAGCTTTTCCCGTCAAGAAGTTCCCGTCTAAGTAAAGCCGTCTTAGACTCTTGCTACGTTCGTATTCCGACGGTATGCCACCGTGAAGCATGTTGTATCTCATAGACAGTGATGAGAGTCTAGGGTACGCCGCGAAACTCGCCGGAGCTGTTCCTTTGATTTGGTTGAAACCTAGCTCTACTGCTACGAGGTTGTTTTCTCCGGCGAGTTTTGGTGGGATGACTTCGATGGCGGTGAGGGAGTTGTTAGCAAGATCTACTTGTTGGACTGATTCGAGGAGGAAGAACCAAGATCCTAGTGTTCCGGTGAATGAGTTCTCAGCGAGTTCGATGATCTCGAGCTGAGTTGACTCGGTGAATGAGTCTTTTGAGATGGGTCCTGATAAAGTATTAGCCTTTAGAGCTAAGTCGATGAGGTTTCTTGGAAGCTTTGGGATTGCTCCGGTGAGTTTGTTGTAGCTAAGATCGAGTTGCCGGAGGTTTAAGAGCGAGTTCATTGTTTTTGGAAGTGACCCGGTGAGTGAGTTGCGAGAGATGTCGATAGACTCGAGTGAGTTGAGTTTAGTTACTGAGTCGGGTATGGATCCGGAAAACGAGTTGGATCGGAGGATAAGGGTTTTAAGGCTGACGAGAGAGGAGATGGAAGATGGGATTACGCCGTAGAAGTTGTTCTCGGCGAGATCAAGCGTGAGAAGCTCAGTGAGGCCGGAGATGAGTGGTGTGAGACGACCCGTGTACCCGGCCGGGTCGAGAGTGAGTTGGATCACACGTGTGGAGTCAGAGGAGCAAGTGATGCCACAAGTGAAATGTGTTCGACGTGGTGAAGCACAAGGGTCGGAGACAGTGAAGTCCCAGCTAGCGAGACAAGACCAAGGAGGGATTGAGTTTGGTTTCACGGTGGCTTTGAAGGCTTTTAAAGCTGACACGTCAGATAGTGACGTTAGAGCATCGGTGGTGGTGGTGAGGAAGAGGAGGAGGAGGAGGAGAAAAGTAGACAAAGTCATTGTTTGAATAAAGTATGAATGAGTGAATGATGTCAAGACTTAATAAGAGTGTTAAATCTTTATATAAAGTTGTGGAGGTCAGCTTTGCCTTTTGGTCACCTCTATCTCCACTACCATACAGACAAGGTTCAATGCTTAAGGTTAAGGTTAAGGCAAAATTGGAAGAAAATCTCGTGTGTCATTTGACCAATAAATCTATTCAACACTATTAATTTATATTTTGACTGCTCTTTGACTTCACATTAACTAAAATATCACATTTTTACTTTTGAATATTATATTTATTTAAATATAAAAAATAAAGCAAATCTGGAAAATAAAAAGGCTGTGTTGGAGAAGTAGTACATTTTTGAAACTTAATTATAAAGCTAGTACAATCACTATTTATAATTGGGAAAATAGTACATTATCACTATTTGCTACTATTTCGTTGACTTTTAAGCATTCAAAAAAACGTATTATTTACAAGTATGCCATTAGAATAAATATATAATATAATTCGTACATCATATTTTCTGTACAGTTGTACACAAATATATTTATGTACAATAATAAAAATATTACATAATATCATATGTGTAACTTATTAGTGTACAAATATGTACATAAATATGCAAATTTTCATATATCATAATAGTTGTACGGATAAAAATGTGTTATTTTTTATACATACGTACATATAGTAAGTTGTACGGGTACGTCTGTACATCTAGTCAGGTGTACAAATACGCATGTACACATACTAAATTGTACAAATACGTCTGTACATATACTAAACTGTACAAAGAAATATACACATAGGAAATGTATTTAAAATTTACTAAACAAAATGCATATCAAATTATAGAGAAAAAAACATAGATTTTTGTGAATAAAAAATTTAGTTTAAAAAAAATTACAAAGTTGGGGTAATAATAATAAAAACAAAAACAAAAACAAAAACGAAATCGGAAAACAGATACAAATGCCCTCCTTTGTCATTCTTTTTTCTCCTTCTTTTTCTATCTAACAAATTCTCTATCTCACATGTACTACTTTAACAATTTTGAATAGTAAATGTATCACTACCCCAATTAATTTCTCCAAATGTACTAAATATCCTATTAATCCAAATAAAAATGGGGTATATTTCAAAATGGAATTCTAAGAATTTATAAATCTTATGTTATTCAAACAAAAAGTTTCATGAAATCTAGTGTTATTGAACTAAGGATTTAAAAATCCATTGTTATTGAAAACAATTTGTGGATTTGATTTTAAATGATTTGAGATGATTTCCTTAGTAAAACACAGAAATCCAAATCTCATTATTTTAGGTGAGATTTGAAGGATTTTACAAAAACAATATGAACTTACCAAAAATCATCAAAATCACTTAAAAATATATATATATAAAAAACTCAAATCAATTTAAATTCTACTTTGAATACACCCCTTTAGAGGACCCCACCAACGTATACAATCTTTATTTTTCTTTTTTTCCTCTCTTTCTCCCAAACTTGAAATTCCTCATAATCAACGCAAACACCATTGAAAAATAATGAAACTGAGTTGTATATTTGTTCTTAGAATCGATCTGGGTCAATTTTATATTTATGGGTTTTAACATTTCAATCAAACTAAATCGTAAGAAAATAATCTAAAAATAATGATTTTATGAATGTAGTACAACTTAGTAGAATTTGGTAAAACTTAGTAGGAATTGGGTTATTCTTAGATATTCTCTTAGCTAGTGATTTTAAAACTATCGATGTGGAGTTGGAGTTAGTAGAAATTAAAGGGATCCATATTGAAGGGGTTTTTGAGTTTGGGTGGATATAAGGATGGTTGGATATGTAATTTCCAATCAATGATGAAATGGAAAATTGCTCTTTTTCTTTGTTAGTCGTCGGATTTATGTTTTAGGTTGAATTAGCTCTCTACCCAATCCAAAAAACCAACAAAGAATATAGCACAGTAATAAAATAAATTTAAGTGAATAACCATTAGTCACTTTAAACTTCAAAGTATCCTCCTTGATAACATCTCACGGGGTTTGGAATGTCTCGCTTCTTAATGAAAACTTCCCTCCTTGTGATGTTATTAGGATTCGTTCCTTTCCACCTCAGCCCCGATTGAAAGACCGTCTGATTTGGGCCTATAGCAATGATGGCAGATACTCTGTTAAGAGTGGTTATTGTCTCTTAAATAGCGAGCTTAACGTGGTTATGGATTTTGTAGAAGATACAAGAGAGGTAAACAGAATCAAAGAGAGGGTTTGGCAGTTAGATACAGCTCATAAGATTCGGTTGTTTTTATAGAGAGTACTCTCAAGCGCCGTGGCGGTAGCTTCTTGCATGCGACAACATGGGATGATTGTTAACCTATTATGTCGATATGTTGGATCGAGGAGGAATCAATTTCCCATGTCCTCTTTTGCTGCTCTTTGGCTGCTCAAGTTTGGCATGCTATAGCTCTCCCATTCCCAGCTCATGGGTTTAAAACTACAGACGCGGAAAATGTCGCTTATGTGAAGTTTTTAAGGAAAACAGAGTTGCATCTACATGTATGCAATGCGATTCCGTTGCTGTTATGGGAACTCTGGAAAAGAGAAACTCTATTCTTCTTGCCGGAAAAGCAGTGGATCACATGGTTTTAATTGCAGGTGTTGTACAAGATGCAGAGGAGTGGTTTCAACAACAATATGTGCAGGCGCAAGAACGTGTGGTGTCCAAGAACCGTGACTGTCGTCTTCCTCGGCTTTGGTTGAAACCAAAAGAAGGTACTCTGAAATGTAACTTGAATGCCTCTTGGGTAAATGACTCGTCTTTCTACGGAGGAGCTTGGTTGGTGAGGAACAACACATGTGAGATGCTCTTCCATGCCCGTGATGCTTGCCTCTCGGTGGTAAACCAAATCGCTGCAGAATTACAATGTGTGGTGTAGTATCTTCAAAGTTTAAGCGATCTACACATTGACGGTTGTGAGGTTTGGTTGGACTGCAATGCGGCTTTTCTCGCTATCCAATCTCCCTTAGAATGGCCTAAATACAGAGCCTTTCTTGACAAGGTTCATCAAGTTCTCCGAAGCTTGACACATATCACTTTTCATTTGTCCTCCCAAGGCTAATGGAGTGGCTCGCGGAATTGCAGGAAGTGTTACTCGAGATGGGCGTCTCACATCTTACTTATCGTTGGGAGGTCCAGCTTCCCTAACGAGACACTAAAGAGTATGACTTGACTCCAATGATATTGCCACATCTTGTGATTTTCGTTGTAATTATTCTTTTTGTATGTTATAAAATTTATGTTCTTGGTCTCTCTTGGAGTTGGAGAGAGTGGTTGTGTTAGAGACAATTGACAAACAATAAGACAAGAGTCGTCTGACTATATCTATGAATCATATATATAAAAGTAAGGTTCCACTCTCTCCTTATTGGTGGAAAAATATTTAAGGCTTTAATTTAAAAAATAAATAAATAATAAATAAATTTTTATGACAATCATTCAATACAAAATTTAATTACACTATAAGTTATAATCAAATGGCAAAGAAAATGAAAGGACTTAATCATATATCATTCAACAAAATAAATAAATAAATAAATGTTTATGACAATCATTCAATACATAATTTAATTACACTATAAGTTATAATCAAATGGCAAAGAAAATGAAAGGACTTAATCATATATCATACAACAAATTTTTATAAGCCTTATTGGTGGAAAATTATTTAAAATCATATATATAAAAGTAAGGTTCCACTCTCTTTATTGTTCCATTTTGTATTTATTTTTTAAAATATAATATTTATTTTTTACCAAAAAAACACATTTAATCATATACATTAATTC